CACTTGTGTATTGCGCTAGCTTGAGAAAGTAGATATTCCTTGATCTCTGGCATCTTTTGAGGATAGATATAGCGGGGCTGGTAAGATCCGAAATATAAAAGAAAACAACTCAGAAAGTTACAGGTGTTAGAGCCTAAATGGGCAGGTCGGAACGGATAAAAAACACTGGCGCCGGCCGGCCGAGTGATGGGTCATGTACCCTAACCGTGTAGATCTCAGGTTCCCGATTGGATGTAATTAGTCGTTTGGCGACTGTCAATTGGTTGGTGTGCAATATCATTATCGCTTGAAGATACCCATGGCCCAATTGGTATCGAAGGGGGTCGTCAATTGAGCGCATAGTCTTGTTCGGAGACTGAGACTATCCGCAAACGATGTTTTCTCCGTGTGTAGAGCGCAAGCAGGTCAGTTTCCCTTGTATCCTAGAAAGTGAAAGTTTAACGCTTTTGAGCGGCCCCTCTAGATTGGCGAATTTATCCAAACTGATGCTGTTTATCCATGACAGCGCGATGATACATATTCGGTCTGATTCACTATGAATCTGTGGTACGATCCGTGACCGGGTCCACTGTCGCGTTAGTTTAAACACACTCGCGCATTCGTGACATCACAACTGTGAAAGTTCTAAAGATGTTACTAAGCAGAGAGGATAAACACATCGGGGGCCAAACGATGTTTCTATATCTAACAGAAAGCACTATAGGATTAGCAGGAAAACAGAAACTTGAGGTGAAGTTAGATACAATGTCATCGACATTCTCAACATGATCGGTTTGATACCCAGTATACCTCTTTGGAATCTTTGACTGATCGAGAAAAGACAGAGATACCGTACGGGCACCCTTGAGAGATGAAGATTGATAATATCAACTAGAGGATTTTGTATTAAAACTACCTCACTGGATAGAGTGATAAAGATAGAGAGACCGCTCATCAAGATGAAGGGCGACCTGACTTGGAGATTTTAAGTGGAGCGAAAATGATGGTGTGTTGGTGCACGACGTTGCCGTTGTTGCGAAGGCTTCCTAGACTTACTTTTCACTTAGGGCAAGCCCCTCAACGTGGCCCTCTATTCTACCCCACTAACATCAAAAACCCTAACCTTCGTCACTGAACCATACAGACTAGTTCATCGATTCCTGCACCCAAACAACTTCACCCTCACTCGAATAGATTGATGAAAATTTCCGGCGAAGGCAGCGTCTATATTCGAATTCCTCGTCTTGGCCAGTTTACGAAGGTTCAATTGAGCTGTCTATATGGGGTGGGGGATTTCCTTCTACGTATGTAGACAAACTACCATTGGAACAAGCCACGTCGTGGTCTCTCTTAAGGGAAGCCCCTAAAGGGCCAAAGGTACATACATGTACTGTACATATATCGAATACCAGATCAGACCACTGGGATGAAGACCGATCCAGCAAAGAACGCAGATTACCACCATTCACGCACGGCATCAGCTTTCGGATTTATCCCTAAGCACTTGCCTGGACGCAAACCGCTGACCCGTTCGTGGTCGATGATAAATTACCACTACCAGGGCCCGTTGCAATCCAATTGGTTGAAACGACAATTCGTAAGTGGAATGAAATCGATATGGATCATATCTAGACTATGGCTTAGAAATCTTATCTCCGGAAAGATACCATGTTGTATTTCACCCAGGGGGTGATCGTGAGGGGGTTATACACAGTGAGTTTTAAGGTTTATCAGTACATTATTTACTTGTTGGTATCTCCTCCGACTAGGCATAAAGAAGACATGTAACCCAACATTCATGCACTACTCCTATTCAAGATATTAAATTGAGTCTCTAGTTGGGCTAATGTGTCACGATCAATCTGTTGGGTCATAGTATATCACTCGCGACAAATACCCGCTGGCACCAACTACGATATAGGGGTTTTTTTTTTTTTTTTTTTTTTTTGTTTAATTCATTAATTGACTACGATATAGGGGCCCATTATGCGTATCCTACCTATAACCACAAACATGAAATTCTACAGTGTTCAGCATATGTAATGGTATTGCAAATCATGCTGACATACACACACATACCTAGAACGTCATCGGAAGAGATTGTCACTCGGAGCTATCTATCTATATCTATGACTACATCATTTACAGGTAGTTATTGATCAGATCACCCAGAAAATTAGCCAGATGGCGTGATACTTTGAGATATGTGTTCAGAAATCCAGCTTCGTCCTATTTCATTCAGGGTGCTCTTTAGCAACATTTATTTCACAGCACGCACCATCCAACTGATCGCCTAGGTCTAAAATAAAGAAGAGGTGTGATTGATAAACCATAAAAAGAGATTTATTGGTATATGTAGGTATCCAGAGTGACTACATGATATTTTGGGAATACGCATGTGTGTACTCTAAGCAGATGCGCCGGGTACATGAATTGCGTTTGTCGGGTGCGGGAAATAGAGTTGCCCTTAAGCGAAATTTACACAACATAATCTACATGTAGTACCTAAATTTTAATTTCTTCTGCACGATACCTACGCTCTTGATAATCTATAAGGTTTAAATTTGTGATCTGTATATGCCATCTGTAACTTAATTCCAGCCAGTGAAGATATACCCGGGGGTCCCTAAAAGTAATACAACGTTTAACCTAACAACGCCATAAGGCACCCGGATTCCAATGTTTTAACATAACACAACGCCTGAATAAGATAGATATTCTGATCATACGTATGACACAGGAGTCTCTAGGATAGAACCTGCGTTTTTCAAGTCATTAATTTGGATTTTTTAGCCTACAAACGGGACAACTTCCGATAAACAAATGTGATAAAAGGACGAACAACAGCTATTCATAATATCTCTTGCTAAAACTATGATCACCTTGTAAATTATCATAAACCCACTTCGAATCTTGTTGGCTAGTTTCGTTGTTGAAAAATATGGATTATATGATCGTTGCACCACTTATAGGAACCCCGGGTACATATCCACATACTAGTAAGTTCCGCTTATCTAGCAAAGGTTTGAATTTTCCGTCTCATACATATAAATGCAGCACTCCCACGACTTTTGTTACTCTGCTTCTCCAATATGTGGTGACTCGTGTGCACATGTGTTTCCTAAACCGTCAATGACAACATGAGCAATGTGGGATAGGTATGTACATGTATGACGATTTAGGGATATTTATCCAGTGTTACTCCCATGAGCTTACTACTCAGTCATTATAAATGAGATTCTTGGTGGTTACATGTATGTTTGCTGATAACGAACCCGCGTAAATAAATGTTTCGGGAGATCGACCTGGGAGTGATATCTCATGATTCGGCTTTCACTCTTGGCTACACGTACTCTCGTATCTATGTATATGCACATGTAATTAGATGTGTGCTAGTTCTAGTTCTGTCTGGATATTGCCTCCAAATACATAAGCCAGCTCTACCCCATAGGACGAGATCACAATCCATCAGCGCAACTCTCTGAAGCTCAAAAATCCCATCATGTTGAAGATCACGCGGTCATGCATATGCATCATGGTCTTGGGCTTACTAAATTTCTTGGCCCGCCCACTCTGACCTTCATGCCCACCCCCGTACGTTGCCCCTCCTACTCTATTGGTGATTCTGAGGCCGCGCGCCTCATCATCATCTTCTCCCCCCAAGCCATGATAGTAATCGTGACCTACGGAAATCTCCCTCAGACTCTGACTAATTTACCGTGACAAGCGCTACCACCTTTATGCACTTGCCACCTTTATGCACCGTGGTGGGGTGAGAGCGAGCAAGCCTAGAGAAGGCGAGGGCGAGGGTTCCCTGGATCGTTGCATCTTTAGTCCCGGCCAGACTTCCACTCTGATACTAGGCAGAATTCAGACCCTTTTACCCAGCCTTACGCTTGCGCAGGAACACGCATCACGTGCGCACAGCAAGGTAGCCACTTCCTGCTAGGTGACACCTCTTCTAGAAAAGTCGCCGATCCGATAATCTCCCTTCGAGAGAGAGAGCTTATATATCAAGAATTTCTATTTTTGTTGTGCAGTGGTACTCTAGTGTCGACATCGCCGCCGGCCATTGCAGAACTGCAAATGGTGGCGTGTGCCTGTATCAGATATATTGCATAATATAAAACACCGACATAAGTAGAATAGGTACATGTAGGTACCCCAAGTACGTACATGTATGTAAGATCAGAAAAATTAGCTGTGCTAGAGTAATACACCTCGAAGATCGTGTTTGAGCTCGCTGCGAAGCTTTGCGCAAAGGCCACTTGCCCAACTCTGCGCGCGACATCAATTGCGGGTTTATTGCTCTCGAGCACGTATATCATATACAATTCGATTCTACTTCTGAACAGTTTAGAGCACACACACCCGGTAAAGCGTAGAGCGCCTACATACAATACATAAATCCATCCCCTGTGAAGATCCTACTTCCCTGTGAGTCGAGGGAGGCCTTGAACCATTTCCGCTCTGGCATTGATCACCATGTTGACAGTGTCCCTCACTCTCACATACACTATGGACCCAGTAAGTTGATCCACAACGTCATAAATGTGACCCCAGACGTCTTCATTGCTACATACTGACAAAAAGAAACCTTGAGACAGAGTAACCCCCGAGTCCTATTACCCCTGGCGCAATGCGCGGTAGAAGGGTGTAAAGTAATATAGATACAGAGAAATAAAAATAGATATCGTGAAATGTAGGTAAAGAAAGGGAAAGACCTAAAACATAGGGATAATATAATACAGAGAATTCCTAGAAAGAAAAAAGAAAGCCAACATAGCGGCAGAGTATAGTCCCCAAATCGCAAGATATACAGCTCAGAACCAAAAAATACCACCGGCTGTAAGGATAAGCAAAAAGAAATATAGCCTCTCGAAGTCCCACAAAACACCCCTCCCCCCCCTTTCCCACGCCCCCCCTAAAAAAACAGTACGTGAACGCTCCAAAACAAATAGACTCTTACCGGTCTTCCAATAAAAAAAAAGTTAGAAAAATCTAAGAAAAAACAAATATACCTAGTCCTCTTCCATTAGTGAGTCTTCAGTGTCCCGCCACTCTCTGGCTTGAACAGAAAGTCTTTTGACTCCAGGTATTCTTTCCGAGTAGAGAGATTCACAAGCGGTTCTATAAGATGAGCAATTAGATTTGTATATTTTGGCACAGAAAGTTGATGTAGCACATACCTGAAAGTGATAGCTCTCTGTGATGATATAACACCGATTGCTTGCAAGACAGCTTTTCTAGAATCTCTTGCAAAGACTGCAGGATGACCAATCCATTCAAGCGCAGACTCCAACTCTGCATCCAGAGCAGATACGGTGGTGGGATCAATACCGGTAGCAGGGGTGAAAATGTGTTCGAGGGGGGGTGTTGCGGTGAAAGTCTGCTGGTGCAGATTTGATAAAGATACGGCACCCTCCGGAAGTTCGGGCAACGGCATATTCGGGGATGGCGCAGGCAAAGGCGGCAATCCGCCTTTACCCAATCCTTTGAGAATGGTCCGAGTTTCGCTGAGCAGCTTCTGAGCATGGTCGTGTTGATTACGAGAGACGAGTACCAAAGCTCTGCTCAACATATCTGAAGTTAATAACTCCATACGCCTTTGGACTACCATAGGATGTGGTGGGATTGGCGGAGAGCCAGGTCGGCCGGTCTTCTTTGAGTTAGACGGTGGTAACATTGTGATCGCAAGTAGGTGCGGTCGTGATAATTGAGACAGAGTTCCATCTCTTTGAAGATCCCCGAATGTCAAATCAGCTAGAATTAGAGGAACCTCTTCAATGCTGACTGTTCTCTGTTCATCTTGATCTGTTGAACCTCCCAGAGCCTCCAATCCGGACACAATAGATTCCCACGCATCCTGAGGAGCGGTGTCGCCTTGAGAGTTGTCAGGTGATATTACGAGTTGAACCAAAATATCTTTCAAAAAAAGGTTAGTTTGGATAAATAGTGTTATATCGGGCTAATGTCAATCAAACATACCCTTCTTATCCCCGAAATGGAGATCGCCCAAAGATGCCTCTGCTTCACGTCCTGTTGCCCTCTTTGATACATGTAAAGCACCGCTGATCTTGTGGAATCTTGCTGGCGAGCCTTCTGGAAGTTTGAGCTTAAGCTTGGCGTTCTGGTGTGAAAGCGTCTGTAATGACCCAACACAACCTGCAACACACTCTCTCAGCATCATCCAATCCTTGACGTATGTATATTGCCCCTTAGTCCTTGTCGACATTTCCATGATTGTATCAGGCTTGTGGGTGAGACCAAGGCCAAAAGAGTGAATCGTAATCCTATATATCTATAAGCCTTGAGTATGAGTGAATAATGGACGAGTACATACTTCGCGGCTTCAGCCCTCGATACTACAAAGTCGACATTTTCGGTTTCTGAAGTCGATGAGTCACTGATTAAGAGAATCGACGCAATTGGATTGCTCGACTTCCGCTGCATCAATAAGTCCATCGCAACATTTGCCCCATCAACTACATCCGTCCGCAAGGTCTTCTGCCCTACTGGGCGAATGGAGTGGATGGCCTTTCCCCATCCGGTCCAGTTTTTTGCTAGCAACGAAGTCAAAGGAACGCCGCCACTACTGGAACCGAAACTAACCAGGCCCATCCTGTCTCTTTCTCCGAGGTTTTGAACAAGGAACTTAAGTGCATCTCGAAGTAAATTGATCTTGAGACCCTGCATTGATGAAGATACCGGGATAACAACGACCACATCAAGGGGAATGTGCATAGATTGAGGAATGTTCTGTCTTCCTCCTCTGATGGACGCAGTATACTCAGTAGGTGCAGTGACGACCGATCGACTCCCCCCATGTCCGCCACTATAGGTTGAGTTTACAGAGGATACTCGCCTTGTTGTCTTCATGGTACGATAATCATCATCATCGACATCAGAAATTGATTGCACTTTCTCATCGTACTGAGGGCTGCGCGATGGGGCAGGATCAACAGAATTGAGGTCAAGTAAAGCGCGTTGCCATTGATCCAATTGAGCGTGATTGGGAAACAAAAGGTGAAACTGAGGAAGCTCAGCCACAGAGAGATTGAGGGTGAGGATATGCATGTTGTCATCTATAGTGTTCGATTAGTAAAATTTATTTGGCCAAGATTGAATGCTGAAAGAGACGTACCTCGATTGCTTGAATCGTTGACTTTCTTTAAATGCTTTTTGATGAGAATTGAACCTTTCAAGGTGCATTTTACAGCCCTTATCTTTTTTTGCCCGTTAGACCATTGGGAAGCAGATGAGGAAACCTTCTTCTCTTTGACGCAAATGAGCATTTCAGAGAAAAGATAACATTCCAGTTCCTGCCAAGCCTGGCAGTCCTTTCCGACTCGGATGGTTCCGTGAAGGCGTAGCTTTCCAAACCTATTGAAAATTTAGAGATGATCATTAAATCAAATTCCTCGGGTGTCCTACCTAGCAAAATCAAGACCATGCCAATTTTCAACCCTCAAGCGGAGATCCTCAGTGATGGAAGCAAGGGCCTCCAACTCCCGCTCTCTTTCCGCCTCGCGTTCTCTCTGCTGTCGTGCTGATGAACTCTCTCTCTCAAAAGAGTACTGACTTCGGCCTGTTGGGCTTGGGGGCTGATATTGTTGGTCATATGCTGCTGGTAGGGATGGTATTGGCGGGACTTCTTCATTGTACATGGGCTGCCATTTCCTTTGCGGTACTTCTATTGTAACAAGGCACGTCAAGCTCTGCTGGACTTTGGAACGCGTGAGCGTTGGGAATTCGCTCTTGACCGTAACGGTAGGAGGATGTATTGGGTTGGCCATTGAATTCCGCGGACTTAGCTCGCTCTCCATGCTTTGGATATCATAATCGTGACGACGAACAGGTGCTGCGCTATTTGGATCTGCGTAACCCTCACTAGCACTGACAGAGGTGCCACTGTTATTGCGCCAATGTCCGCTGTCGTGTTGTCGTTGACTTGAGTCTCTTGTTTCATTGCGGCTCTCCGTCCTACCATCTCTATTCAAACTTGATGTTCTGCTGCCTTGTCGACTCCGAGCCCTGCTACCGTAGTTCTCATATTGGGGAGAGGCCAGATCCCTTTCCCTCTCTCTTTCCCTCTCCCGCTCTCGTTCCCTTTCCCTTTCGCCTTCTCTCTCTCTTTCCCGCTCCCGCTCCCGCTCTCGTTCCCGCTCTCGTTCCCTTTCTCTTTCCCTTTCCCGTTCACGCTCCCTCTCCCTAGGCTGTTCTCGGCTGTCTGCAACCGATACTGATCTAACGATACTGCTAAGTTTTTCTGCACCAAGTTAGTATTCACAAGTCTAGCCGGTTCCCAGGTAGACACGAACCTATATCAAGAACATTTCCACCCCGACTAGTATCCAGTCCTAATGGAGCATGACACTCAGGGCAATATTGAGAATCGACCTCTTTAATATACTCATAAAAACAGGCCTCATGGGCAACATGGCTACATGAGAATTGAAGGATACGCTCCCCACGTAGTGTGTGCTCTAAAGGCTCCTCACAAGCTGCACAATGACTCCCGACAAATGTTCTATCGCGACGGCTCCGCCCGCGATCCATGTCTAGCATACCCGCCATAGTGCTTGGTCGATGTTGGGATTGAGAATCTGCTGAGGTGACAGAAGGTGGTCGAATAGTTGATACTATTGATGGGGCAACTGATCGTGTAGAGACTGAATGATTACTGTCAGTATATTGCTCGCCGATGTGAGAATCGCTGGCAAGGCGACGAATACCGAATTGTCGCTGGCGTGAGGGTGGGAGGCCAACAAAAGCGTTGCCCGAACTTCCCGAAACGCAAGACTCAGCAGGGGAGCGAAGCTTGCTGCTGCGGCGACCACTTAGCAAGCCACGACGATACCACTGGGGGGATTCTTCCTTCGTGCTGGGAGGTCTTGAGGAACGAAAGCTCGTCATGTCCCGTTGGGATGGGCGTTTAACGGCTTTTGGGGGTTGTTAGAGGTTAACAACCAATGTGATGGGTGTGAGCCGGAAAAATAGAAGACAATAAATGGGAGTGGCAGGAAGAAGAAGGGGGGTGTAAGAGATGTGCGATGGGGGTGTGGTTGGGGGATAATTGGGAATGGGATGGGATAGGGATGTAATGTGGTGGGAATAGGTAGTGTAGTACTGGTAGGGGAAAGAAGATCGCAGCGATCCGACCGCCTGTCGGAACGTGGTAAATCTCGTCAAACAGGTGTGACCCAGGCTAGCGCTGTTAAGTGAGGGCGTTACGGCGCGCAACTGTATTATTATGTGGTATCTGTATAGACTGCCAGTCTGCCTGACCCAAGGTGGGATTTTGCAGTTCCTGTGGAGTATGCCGCTGTATGTCTAAAGCTGTACCTCTACCCTCTTCCTTTCTTTTCTTCCTTTCTGGGTCTCTGTGATACTTGAACCGCCCAAAACACTCAATGACAGCCAAATAAAGGTTAAGGTAAAAATACTCCTTTTGAAAAGGGAAAAGGCCGTAGGGATGAAGACAGCCCGGATCCTCGATACAGGCAAGGATGACAGCGGCTTCGGTCTTTGACAGGGTTGTCCTGCGGAGTAGAATATGTTTGAAGTATGTAGTAATGGGGCGGCGCGGGGGGTAAACAGTTACGGAGAAAAGCAACAGGTGAGAAAAGAGTACGGAGGATTGAACGAGTAGGTAGCAGCAATAATAGTTGTTAGTTAACCAGTATGCAGCAGTAGTAGGTGGACGTAGGACTTTGCAATATTTGTGTTTCTTCTGGAAGTTGGTGATGCAAGCATGTCAGATGAAGAGTGTGAATGCTGGTATGTAAGTGCGTGGCAGCTACCAATACAACACAGCTAACGGCATCTGATAGGTACATGTAAGTACATGTATATATGCAAATTTGATTATTACTTTGATATGGTTGTTCCGTACGTGGAAGTTTCAACAGGCACAGGTATACATGTAATCTGTAGAAGTAAAGGGTGTTTACATGTATTTACACACACAGCGTGACACACACAAGGTGTATCTGTTGAGCACGATGAGGCGACAGACGTCAAACGACGGCCGTAACTTTGCTCATGTCCCTATCTTTTTCGCTTTGTTTCTTTCTTTGATTGTTCAAACATCCTATCACGCCCTTGCATTTAAGAGGTCTCGGTGAAGCATAGCTTGCAGTGCCCAAACGAGCGTTTCCTCGGCCAGTCTAGTCCTTTCTGGGTAAGCGGCTAATTCCACTTCATCCATGTTCCAATAGAACGGGCCAAGATTTTATGAGGGCTCTTTCCCCGTTTCATCACCGAAATCCCATTTAAAGGAGATGTGGGAATCCCTGCATATGTTTGGTGAAATCGAAACATCTCTTCAGCTGCCACCTGTCAAGTCACTCATCCGCTCACTCACTGGAGTAAACTACGTACAATTTAGGGGTGTTTTCCAGCCTTATGTAGGATTTCTATAAAGTGCACGAAAAAAAGGGTTAGGCCACTAGTGCTACTGTACATGTAGGCGGTACTACTAAGTACAAGTACCTGCTGCTCAGTACAACCACACGACACCTGCATCTACTATTTTGTGTTTGTACCCCTGGCTAATAGTGGCTGTCACGGCGTGAGCGGCGTTTTATTAAGTACATATTCAGAAAAAACAAGATCATCACATGCGTCATCCAAGACCCTGGTCCGGAAAATCCACTACAAACGCTGGCTCTATGCGCGTTGACTTTTCCCCCTCTTTCCTTACCTACAGTACTAAACAAACTCAAAGGCCAATGCACAAAAGCCCATGGGTCGTTCGTTGGGAGCAGAAAATCATTAAGGGCTAGCACGAGGAGGTAGGAGAAGTCAACAAGTAGAAAGTGAAAGGATTCATCCCTCCATCTTTCATCCCCTAGTGCCGGTTTTCCACGTGCCGTGCTAATGTTTAATCAGGTACAGTTCCAGCCCTTGATTAGCGATTATTTGGCTGCGAATATCAACCTATGTGTGCTCGAACCTCGGACACCCTTGAAGATGAAATTAGCGCGACCGTTTTGACTCGTGGAGCTTCAGCCAATGTGATGTTCTTTGTATCTTATTACCTTATTACCGGCGCCTCTCCTCCGCCTCCTCCACATTACGAATCGATATTGAGGAAACAAAAAAGCCACCATCACGGAGACGAACAACAAAGCAGTCAAAAGCCGTATTCTGGAAGCCCTATAAGGTCTTTCGGGTAGATATAAGGGGAATTAAAGCAAGCGAGAACTCTTACGGTGGGGGTCGGGCCGCCTTCTCCTGATATATGTCATTTTACCAAGGGGTGCCTCCTAGCACCACGCAACTCAAAAGTGATTCCAGCAAAAAGGCGTCTTTAAAGATTCCCATTCCCATTCATGCGCAGCGATTTTCTGAAAAAGGATCCGAAGCTAGCCCTTCCTAAACCTAACCACAGTGCCAAAAAGTCAGGCACCAATCTCCTGAGAAACGTAAGATCCTCAAGTGGCCCTCTCGCCCAACTACCAAGCAGGTGGAAATTGCAATTGCGTCTTTTTGGACAAGAACCGTTTCAAGAAGCGTACAGCACTTCCTCCATGGGAATTAGTAGCTACAGAAAAGAGACTTTACTTTTCATACATACAGCTGCAGGTGTGTATCAACATTCGGATTCTGTGAATTCATCTGCGGCAAAATTATAGACGAAGCGGCACACCTAACCTGGCACAAAATGTGGCGTGTTATACAGCCTTTTTACCGAAAACTTCATGGTGGCCCAGGAAACAAGGATTACCAGGAGTACCATGTATCTGTTTGGGCAGCGAGTACTATATGCCGCACAAATGATACCAAATAGTAGGGCTTTTGGCACCCTGGATTTCGAAAGATACCACCTCCTCATTGTAAAAGATGGTGGTGCAACACTGCGAATATCAAAGACACCTGACAAAAGAAAAAGTAGCACCAGGAACCTGGTCTAGTTTTAAATGATACCTTGACTGTTGTATCCCTATAATCGGAAATATCAATGAAAAGCAGGAGCCGAAACCCAGCAAGATGGATCCGTGTTGGAGTACCCACGATTTCGAGTTTACCACTTACATCAACCCATTGGAACTCCAAACACCTATGTATGTAGGTACACAGGTCATACAAAACTCCAGGTTTAGAAACCTCCGGAGATGGAGGGTATGAAGACACAGAATACTGGTATGGGATTAAACGATTCTTTTCGCAGAGCGGGGTTCATATAGAATTGTGTTCCAGCTCCTTGCTACAATTTATCAAACTTTCGATCCTCGCTTATCTCCGCGCCTTATTCCTTTGGGTCCACGGATGTCGTGTAGGATACATTGTCGCGGCAAGTCATTGCGAAGTTTATAACACAACTGTAATAGTCGCATGTCATGCTTGACATAATAATTCGGCAGTTCCCATAATGATAGAGTAATATTTGGGACTTTCGGTGTGGACCCTGCACAACGTACTGGTTTGATTCATAGCCACAGATCAGTAAATACATACCTTGGTCTGTGACCTTCCAAGTTCCAACTACATAACTCCCTTGCAGGCACTCTAGAGTAGTACCCCCACAGCGGCTTAGATGGGAACGGGAAGGAGGATGGTTGTTTTTTCTTCTTTCCTTTCCGTAAAACCACATGTGGACTCAAGGCTCAAATTGAAGTTGTCCCGCCCGGCCAAATCCTTAACACTGATCGACCTTTCGGATCCTCCTAACATGTTGACTGTGAGGTTTCGCCGAATCCACACCCCATCACAACCAACGGGGCCACAATTTCATGCCCAATGCTCGGTCGAAATAATCTGCCCAGTCGTTTATCTTCCATAGATAAACAAGACACGTCTTTGATAGAATACTCTAGGTAGATTGGCGAGCTAGCTCAGCATTGGTAACTTGACACGTTAATGGGGTTCTCTTCTCCATTTGACACATGTACATAGCTGCCCAGCAGAGGTGAACCAAAGCCAAGGTTAGGCCCGAAAATCACCGGGTTGCATTACACTATTTGTATCGACATCCTGGTAAGTTGGGACACATGAAAATCCGGAGAAAGACAGCTGTTTGACAGTTACCACCAAGCGGGGGTTTCCTGGCTCCCTCTCGTGCTACATATGTAAGTACATGTATTGTACATGTATGCAATGGGGAGTACTGCATGTACATGTACCCACATGTAGTGTTTGAAGAATTTCCTATAGATTTTCAAAACCCCCATTATATACAGCGCAATTATCCTGAGAAGTCCAATTGCACTCGCACGTTCATTCTCGCAGTTTGCCACTGTGGCTTTCTTCTTGGTAAAAGTATGCCCCTGAAGATCTAGATATCAGTTTCAGTCTCAGGTACACATGTATGGAATATCCACGTCTTCTTGGGTTGAAGAACGCGTTTGTGATCTGATCTAAAACGTGCCTTCGTTACAAAACGGGACACTGGACTAGTGAACCTCTCAATCCAAGACACCTCCATTCCGATCCTGCTTAGTCTCAAGCTAGAGTTGTGCCCAAGCTTTGAGAAACGACAGGATACCTTTCATCGGCCGTTGGGCGATACTCAGAACGTTAACGGAGATGTATTCCATCCAACAGCAGTACTAGCTATAGTGCCATCTGTTCTACAGCATCCCCGAGTGATAACATGTGATCTCAAGGGTATTGCTTATATATAACTTGCCGGCCCCACTTTCTTGTGGGCCTTTCCCGGAGTAAGTACCCCCTCGAGGAACACAGACGGCATACGTACCTACTTGAAAACAGATCAACATCCTTTATTTCCGGCCGAGCAACCGGACGGGTCCATGCACTCGGGCGATCAACAAATTATCGCAGCAATATCATTTGCCGATCCACCTACTCTGCAAACATCAGCACAGTGCCGATTACTGTATCCATCTGGTTCTCCTTTTATTTCCATTCAGTTTGTGACATCACCTTAAGCTTGGCCAATTGACCGTTAA